GGGCTGAGTGTAATGTGTGCCTCCCAGCCACACCTGAATGGAAACGCACTGATCAAACAATCATCACCCTTGTCTGTATACAAAAAATACAGCACAGTATTATCGAAAGAAAATAATCGAGCCTACATTTTGTACATATATTTTCGTAGATAAACATCATAATGAATGGGGCTGTCCTCTCTGGTCGCGTCTGTAAAAGTGTATACATATGAAGTATATAACGTTGTACTTGAAGCTATTTATCACAATTCCGTAATGATAATTTTTGCTCCCTTAATGCTGTGATAATATTTGTACATATCCACCCAATTCAGACAGTATTACTATTATATGGTATGATAAAACACCTAAAGCGGGAGGATCTAAGATAAGGTCTAAGGCCATAGAAATACCCTGAATTGGATTGATATGTACAAAAATAATATATCAGAGCATTAAGGGAGGAAAAATATCATTACAGAATCGTTCTGTACAATGTAGTTTAAAATCCCCTTATAGTATAAAATCAACGAATACACATTGATAAATATTGAACATTTTAGAAATTAAAATGTCTGCACAGCCGATATTCTTTTACACCTATTATTGCCTCTCGGTTCGGTTGAGTGGAGCATTAAAGCCGGCTGCTAGCCGTGGTCGGTATGCTTCATCCTCTGATGGTTGGAGGCACTGTTGCCATGAATATGTAGTGCACATTCTAATTAAAATGCAGTTTTCCTGGGATATAGAACATGTAATCTCGAGCCCCATAGTATATTCTATGTCGAAATATGACTAAGAAGACCTTACCAGAGTAGACAATTGTTGCTTCTGAGGGACAAGTCTTCCTGCCCCAGCGGACATAAACAGCGCCTCCTGTTAAGCATAACAATTAGGTAAGCGATAATGAAGTTCTCTACCATTTTATTGCCAGAATCAAATAAAAATCATATTGACAGTGGAGTATACCACATCTATTGATGCGTTTATAGCACGGTGGTACGTATACTGTAACTATAACATCCTTGAACAGATCTAAGCGCACAACATACTCACCTAATCCGTTTGTCCCTTGTTCGCCTTTCTGGCCTTTGGCCCCTTGATGACCTTGCAGCCCAATGTCTCCTTTCTGTCCAGGCTCACCCTGTAAAAATCAGATCAAATATGTGACCACAAATGAAGTTTAAAAATCATTGATTTCATTTAGGACAATTTAATTCATTTATTATGTTTTATAAATTACTCATATATCATTTCATCTTTCGAGAGAGAAGGATGCCTACTATACTTACTACTACTATTTCTATAAAGAAGAAATATCAAGAAAGTCGTTTGTCTTTTTTTCTTATAGTCAAACAGAACACACCAGTAATCTAAAAACATTACAAAAGTCAAGTTTGATTCAAACGACAAACTAATGTTAAGCTTGCGATGGAAACATATGAGTGATGACTCCGGGACGTTTCAGCGCACCTTCAGCCCGGGTGCTCCCGCCATTCCGTCCCGTCCGTCCCGACCGTCCCGTCCCGGCTGGTTCTGACAACAACCTGTCAAGGAGCGGCGTTAGAATGGGCCTAATTCAATCTTAGATCTAATAGATCTAGAAGATACACGGTTAGGCAACATATTCTATATTTTGACAATATAAACTTAAAATCTGTACATTGTGGGTCGTGTGGCGCAACGACAGCGTGCGCGACTCGGAATCAAGAGGTCCCTGGTTCGAGTCCTTGGGAAAGGCACTTTACACGACTTTCCCCACTAGACTGTGAAAATGAGTATTGTCTGTCCAGTATTCGTTTCTATGTGC